GGAACCAGTCCATTCCAGAGATGGTGGTCGCTATGCAAAAGCTTGCCCCGAATCTGGTATAGCAACAGTGTCTTTAGTCTGGGGAATTCAGATTGTTATGTTTCTGTGCAATCAAATAACATAGTGTACCAGATTTTATTCAAATCTAACTCGCAAGTGGCTTATTGATTCTGTATGAGTTCTTTCTCCTCATTATTAAATGATTGGATTTATCCAGCATCTCATCTGTTGGTTTTGTACAATACGGCCGTTTCACAATAGTGCACCACCAAGAGTTTGCAACGTGTTGGCCAATCATAATGCGCAAAATTTGTCGACCCAATGCGCGTTTGGAAAGGGTCGACAAATTTCACATGTTATGATTGGCCAACGCCTGCAAACTCTTGGTGGCGCACTATTGTGAATCGCCCGTATTTCTTCCTTTGTCTTAATTGTAAGTCCTTTTTTCTGCACCCTAATTCTCTGTGGCTTTCCTCCAAGAGGGTATATATGTATGTACATGTAGCCTATAATGTATAAGCTTGAAACTTGTCAGTCCTTATTTCACATGTAAACATGTGTGTCATATAATCATGATGACGTCATCACATGATTTCAAAATTTTGTCTGATGGTAGTCCTCACTCTTTCAATCCACAATTCTCTGGTGCATGTACATACATGTACTGGTACTAATACATGTACATGTATCTCCTGAACCACACACGGTACCGATATTTTACAAAACTTCTTTGAAACCATGTTTGATCTGATCAGAGGTCAGAGTTTGGACCAGAGACCTAGACAACAGTTGAGATTCTGTTCACATTTACATGTAAGTGGTATTTGCCATAAAAATATGTTCCTGTACACTCCACCACCTCCAAAACCACAGCTTCTTTGATGTTTTTAGTGTACAAATTGCATGCATGAACATACAGTGTCCATATGCATGAGTACATGTGCATGTACGTATGTACGTGTAGGACTCTCGTTTCAAATTTCACAAACTCTACCGGTACTTTTTGTCATTCAAATTTCTTTAACAAAAAAAAGAAAAAACGGAAGAAACTAGATGAGCATGTATGTGTACATGTGTACCATGTGTACTGTATCTTGAACAGTACACAGGTACATGTGCAGCAAACCTGAACAAAAAGAAAATTCTCTCCCCTTTTGCTAAAATTATCATGATCCTCACCAACTAGTTTTGATGAATCATTACATGTATATGGCAGGTTCCTCAAAATTTGGACCATTAGATAATGTTCAACTTTGGGGGTTCATTTTTCCTGAAGTGAACAGCAGTGAATTAATTTCCACTGTTTGATGTACTGAGGGAAGTCATGGCTGATATCTGGAACAATGATGACCATGTCAACCTTTCAACTTAATTGGAGTTAATTAATTAAAGTCTCGAACGTTAGCAATTTTGAGGGACGTGAACTCCCTGTTAAAATCTGAGCCAACAGAATTTACTGAGTGATAATCCCTGAGGTTTATTTTACACAGATTTATTTGTGGTGAAAGGTGATAATATTTCTTAAAATATTAAAATTACATATTAAAACCATAATCACGAAATTAAAAAGTACCTCTCACAATTAATTGGGTACCGAAGTCGGCAGTCGCGAATGTCATTTAATTCTGTCATTAGTGTCAAAAAAATCGAACGCAAAAAAAGGGAGTAAAATCCATTTTTCAATGTACAACACAAGCTTTGAAAAGAGTGCAAAAAAGCACAGCCAAACCATCATCCTTTTACGACTGGAGCGATTACATTTTCTTCAAGCATGTTACCAAAAACCGCAGTCCAAAATACTGATAGTGGCGATTTTGAGGCTTCCATCAATCTCTCGCGGTGATGTTAGAGAAACATTTCGCTGAATTGTGTCCTGTTTGACCTTTGACATCAACCCAGATAGTGCACCCTCTTTTTTATTCGATATTTATGAACCCCTCCACGGAAAGGCGACGCTCCGCTATTTTTCTCTTTGGAACGATTTTTCTCAAAAGAAAATCTGTCATTCTGAATAACGTTCGCAAAAAAATGACGTTCGAGACATAAAATACGATTCATGATGAAAATCTAATGCTCAGAGTTGTTAATTTTAATTTTATTTTCAGCGGGGTTATCTCCAAAATAACCGGCAAAATTTTTAAACGTGATCAAAATTCTGTCAAATATAACGTTTGTAACGCAGCCAAACTTAAAGATGATTTTTGGTGGTCGAAATATAGAAGACCTGGCAAATATGTTGGTATAGTGACAGTGATTATCAACGGTAAGAGAATGAAGAGAGCTAAACTTTTCTCATCATTTTCCGTCAATTTTGTGCTCTTTTTTTTGTGGCTTATATTTTTTTAAAGTTATTTCTTAAGTGCTTTAAAATAAATCAGTCGAAAAATATACTGAATTCTCCTCCTTGTTGAGAGAAGTTTTGAAATCAAGTCCTCTGGTGTAAACACTTTGGCTAAAACTTTAAATGAATTCAACTCCATTTGATTTGCACTGATAGCCAACCAAATGTCCACCACAAGTACATATTATGCCTAATTATCCCCATACATGTATAACCATTTTTATAAATCTGAAGGTGCTAATTTGTATTTTAAATGATCAAAGTCACTCTTTCAGAAGTTTTGAAAAATGACAGCCGAGGTTGCATTTTGGTCCATTTTATGAAGAACATGCCACACCCGTATGTACATTTGCTTGTTACAGGTGTCTCACTTTCTAATTTGAAATCAAAAGTGCAATAGCAGATACACAAAAAAGTTTGCTTCAAAGTGACCAGGCTGAGATACCAAAGAACACATACATGTAAATGACACCTGCACTGTATTTACATGTACATGTACCATGTCCATGTATCACCACAGTTTACATGTGCCATTCTTTTATATTCTCTTCTTGATACTCTACTTCCAGTCACCCTTGCCATTCTAAGTGAGAATACAACACACAAAATGCAGATGGCTCTATGATTTGCATTGGACTGACAATACAGGTAGGATTAACAACCCGATTATCAGGTACAGGAACAACTGTTTATTCGCCTTTCAATTTGCACTTGAAAGCAAGTCAACTGTATATCCAGCACACTTGTGTTGGCTAGGAGTAATTAAACAGATTCATGACTACATGTATTATATCAGGGATGGACAGAGCTCACCAAGTGTGCATGCATGTAATGTCATGCTTGCTATTTGCTAGGTAAAGGTACAAGGTACCAGTAGGTGGAAAGTAACTTACAGACTGCAACCTGCTAAAAATGTGCAATAAAAGAATAAGCTGACACACAGAACCCTTTCAACATTTCCAAGCAACAATAAAGGTACATGTACACAAATGTGAGGCTTCATTTGCAAGCAGTCACACTGATCAGTCTCAAGACACTGTCAACGCGATAGTACCATCAACACACTGTCAACACGATAGTACCATCAACACACTGTCAACACCTTCAACAAATATTCCACATGTAAATCAACAAAAAGGACACAAAACTGTAATGTCTGGGATAAAAGAAATTTCCAATGTTTTGAGGTTACATTTCATATTTGCAAAATGGAATTATTCACATGAAAAAAATGATCCGTATCATGAGCAGCATATTGAAGTGTTGCTTATGCAATCATCATCCCGTAGGCAATATAGCAAAGCAACGTACCAGTACATGTACGTGGACCTTACCATAGGAATGACCGCCAAAAATCCATGCAAAAAAATCTAAAAACTCTTGGGAAAATTCCCTTTTCCACTCCAATTTAACCCTAACCATCCCATGTACTGAAGGATTTTGGAGGAGTGAGGCTGCATGGCAGAACTGCATTGCTGGTTGTGGGTTAGACCTTGTTTTATGTTCAGCCATACATAACTTCATGCCCACAAATATTATTTTCCATAATACTGCTCCAGGTTACCATTCACTCTGTCTCAACATAATGAGAGGAACTACAGGAGGATTTTGAAGGATTGAGGGTGTATCCTCTGAAAAGGGCCTAGGCGGTTAGGGTTAATATTATGGTAACTCTTGCAATTATGAAGTTTCAGTTGAAGTCCTGATCCTGCCATACTCACATTCAAAACTCCCTTTACGATATTACCCATTTAGCATAATGGTATGGTCCACATGCACTGCCCGAAGCAACATTGATTTCGGGCACTGTACAGAGAAACAATTTCAACGAACTGCAACAGGCAATTTTCAAACTTCTAATCTTCTGTTGTTAGCAAAAATGTTGTTTTGGTAAATACTTCACCGTCGAATATCACAAAAATTACTGTTAACCCTCTTTCTGTTTTAACCCTCAAAAACAGTAAAAAAAATGCCTTCCACTTGATTTGCCCAAGTACACAGACACATATGGGAAATTTGACTGATTTTGACTGATATGACAACTGTGTAAAGAATGCATCTTAGCATAGGAGGGTTAATTTACATGTAGTACATGTATGTGTTTAGGGGTGTTGATGTGTTGATATTGTGTTGATGTCTCTTGACATACGACAGTTTGCAAGAAATATTCTCCATTCATGTCAGTTGTCTACAAAATAGTTCTCATATTTCACTTTCCCAAACCCTGTAAAGCCATGCATCATAAAGGACATCAAATCACCAATGTCAAGAAGGTGGAAACAAAGTTGAAACAAAGGAAAGAAAATTATATTAATTAAAATGTATAAATAATTTAGACATAAATACACATTATGCTCCCTAATCCCAGAACTGTAAGGTATACTCCGTGTACCGTACAGTTCCAAATTCTCATTGGTTTGAAACGCTACAGGATTCTAAATGTGCCCATTTATTCTGCCTTAAATTGCACTTTGTCAATCAAATCCCCCGCATATCTGTTGACACGGAAGACTGATTCCTGTCCCAGTCCTCTGAATGTATACAATAGGGACAGCAACAGGCAGACTAAATGGGCACATTCAGAATCCCATAGCATTTAAAAGAAATGAAAATTTGGAACGGTGAGACAAAGTTCTTGGGCGTGGGAGTATATACTCACCATCTTTAGTCAGTTGTTGTGGCTCTCCGATGAATGTCTGATCAATCAAGGAATTCTTCAAGTATCCATGAGTCCCCATCTTGATATGTCGATGCTGTATGATGGCAGCCACTCCAGCCAGTACACACTCTGTTGCCTGCTCAGGAAGGGCAAACACATCACTGCCAACGGACTCCTTCGTCCGGACAAGGTTTCTAGGAATGATTTCTGTGTTTCCGTAATCGATGAAGTAGGCAATGACGTCGTTTCCAGTTACATTCTCGATTCTGGCGCGATACCAGCGACCATCCTCCAGGTACTTAGCAATACACAAACAGCCTGGCGCTAGAGTATCTGGCAGCGGGCTTGAAGCCTCCTGCGCCATGAATTGGAACCTCTCCGAAAGCTGCTCAACTTGTTCCAGTTCATTTGGGTCCAATTGAGTCCAAAACTTCAACAACCCCGTTTCCCTATCCACATCTGCAGCAGTGACATACACTTCAATTCGAGACCCCATGTTCTTCAAAATTCGCCGGGCTATGCTGCCCATTGTTATGTACGTCAGTTCTAAAAGATGTAGGGGCCCCTGTGCATCACCATTTGTGAGGAATGATGAAAAGGAACTCACGTTAACTCAGGTTTCTCATCTCATTCAAGTTGCTTGCCCTCGTGCGTCTCATCTCAGCTCACATACATGACATGGTCGTCAGCATGTGCACTTTGCTCTAGGATTTGAAGAAACTACTTTTAAATGGGGGTGGACAATAAATAATACAATGTGTCCGGGGTGTTCCGTCAGTAACATAACTTTCAGAGTTTAAAACGATAACGGAATTGAAATTCCTAATAGTAACCATATCCAGATCAGTTTATAACGAAGAATTATTTGGGGTCAATTTACAACAAAAAATTATTAAATATATAAAACGGGAAAGACACTCACCACGACAATGGAACACCCAATGTCGGAATGAGAGGGAAGGGTCATGAAAATCCTTGACAAAAACACTTTTACACGAACACTTGAAAGAGTATTGCAGCTTTTGGAATGAATTTTCCCACGGGGATTTCACAAATTGAGTGATTTCGGCTCCTTATCAAAGCATCACCTTGAAACACATGAAAATCATTAAAATGATCCAAATACACGTGGCTGTCAAAATCTCTGTCACAGAGGGCGCCCTATATTTTGCGGAACCACTGTACTGCTAATTAATACAAAACACGTGGCTGGCTCCGCAACAAGATGCTAGTTGCGTTGGTAATATACCATTATTGCTAGCTAGCTACTTACTGGGATGCTACGTAGTAGCCTTCGGCGCTATACGATCTTTGGTAGTAGTACTTAGCATGGATCTTGGCATAGGATCGGATGATGAACTTTTTGTAGAACTAAAGACTCGGTCATTGAGGGAACATGAGGTCTGGCGTCCCAAACAGTGTGAACCAGAAGAAGTAAGGTCAAGCTCTGCCCTACCCCCAGCATCTGTACAGTCCTGTGGAATGTGGGGTTCGTTATCCGCTGCGCTCCCGTACTCGTCGTGGTCATCATGCTCATGTCCGTCGGTGGGGGGTTTTGTAGATTTGGGGAGCCCCTAGTTTTTTGTCATTTTAATCTTGTAAAATTGTTAAGCCTCCCAAAAGTCATAGGCGATGCCCTCTTTTTTGTGTAAAAATGTGACTTTCTTACTGATAAACCAGCCATGCAAATAGGAAATATGAATCCACCATGTGTCGTGTAAAACACTCAAAGTTTCCCTGCACAATCTCCTTCAAAACTCAAAACCCTCTTTTCACATCAGCGGCCCAGTTATTGTGAGCATTTTGTCATGGTTTTATGATCTACCAGTTAGGTGAATCAAAGAGTTAAAATGTAGGTCTCCCTTCAATTATATTATAGGAACGGGGTCCCCAAGTATACAACCCTCCATCGGTAAACGACGGACCCCACATTCTTGGGGTAGGCCCATATACCGTATATGCATAGAGCATGATCAATAAGGCATCTCTTGAACTGAAGGACTAAAATGGAATCAAGTTTTTTCAATCTTTTTGGCATTATCCTTGCTTTTCCAAATTAAACTTTTTTTAATGTTTGTTTGTGCATACATTTGCATGTATTATCAAATCAAAGAGGAGCACAAACAGCATTATAGCATTTAACAGTAATACGGTGGTTATCGTCCTCATTTGCACTTGGATGGGCTCACCAGGCTATGGCCAGGAAAAAAATCGACAAACGTGTACATGTACATACATGTACATGTACATGTACCAGTATTTTGGACAGAGAGAGGAGAGACTGCTTGGGGTAGCTTTCTTCCTACCTCCATGCACAGAGCAAGGACACGGGTACTACATCATTGTGTGTTACAGATGTATAATTTGTGTCCCAATTTCAACATTTTTCAGTGTGCTGCGTGTTCCCAATCTTGTAAGCTTCAGAGTGCCTAGGCCTGGCAAACAGCATGAATTTAGCTTGCATCTCATCTGTGTTGAACAAATGAATCATTTGTCCCCAGAAATTCATAATTTTGCCTTTATTCTGGACTTACATGCACATTTGTTCTTTTGATTCTTTATAGTTGAACGTCCAAGTTTGATCATGCGTTTTGATTTTTGAAAACTATATTCTTCCATAATCATAATAGTTGAATTATTTACTTTGCACCAAGTAACAGATTTGGAATTAAGTGTCAAATCATGCTTCTAAAGGATATGCAAAATGATTTCAGAGTGGTTTGAGAAAGCATTGGACTGAGGAATGGAGAAACTAAAAAGGCTGATGGCAAAAATGGTGTAATGAATCAGAATCAACCATTCGATGAATTGGCAACATACATAACCATGTTTTTAATGCTTTCCAACAGTGTTTGTTTGAGGAAGTCTCTGTGGACCCCGTCATAGACACAACTACATATACCACTGAGCGTGCTCAGGTCTGGTCCTATCAAGCAGACTTCCTGTATGCCAGAAGGCAGTTTGACCACGCTTTGGCACTCTACAGGAAAGGTGTAGCTGCAGTCCCGACACGCTATGTTCTTCTACGGAGACTTTTCATAGAAGGTGCTGCCAGATGCTGTGTGCACTTAGCAGAGCATGGCCAAGCATTACAGATGGCCAAACTGCTTGTAGGTACCAATAATGATGATGTTGGTTTCATTGTTACAGTACAGGTTAACAGTACTGTAATCCCAAGGTACATGTACTCTTGTGAGAGCGTCATGTTTGTATTTATGTGTTATGTTGATATTCAGCTGTAATGTTCCAGCTGTTCTTGATATCAAAAAGTTAAAGAAAGAAGTAAAAACTTCAAAACTGGTGATACCATGTGATAATTTTTTTAAGCCTTCAAATTTTTCATAGGCCTCCAAATTCTTTTTAGGCCACGGTTTCCCCACTAGCATAAAAAATACCCCCCCCCCAATTTCTTTCGAAAAAGGAGATGGTTTGGCCCCAAAATGGAGAAATTGTGGAAATACAAGTTCAGGCCAGGATCAACTCCCTGGGCTTTGGGGTTTCCATTAGAGGGTAGAGTTGATAACATTACATATAAAAATGTCCCCAGTGTCCAAGAAAGTAGAGGGAAACCATTTCCAAAATGGCTGCGAGCACGGTTGGGAATTTTCACTTTTGTGAGTTTGTTTTGTGTGAATGATTAAAATGTAGTTAATTTTTAAAATGTTAAAAGGCAATTGTAAGTGAGGTGCAAGACAAGAATTTAATTTCTGTTTGGGGAGGTTGAGGCAGTCCAGGCCCGTGAAGCATCTGGTACTTGTATACATGGCCACATAGCTGAAACAAACTGGAAGTATCAAATCAAGAAAAATAGAAAATCAAAAGAAAACAAATAAAAGCGAAGAGGGAACCTTAAATTATGGAAAGAAAACATAGGTTTTGATGGAAAAAGAATAGAACAAAAGTTTTTCACAACCGTCACGGGGCTCAACAAGGATCCACATTTTGCAGAGGCGTGTACATACATGTACATGTACATGTAGTAGGCTACTGCAGCACCTTGATGACTTCATAGAATTAGATAATTGAGAGTAGTTTGCCAATGGTCATTCTATAAATCAGGAGTCCAAAAGTGTGACATTTTAGAGTCCCTGTTACATCTAACTTTTCCAATTTGACAAGGAAATTTATCATTGAAGCTGACTTCAAATGATTTGAATTTGTTTTACAAGTGTTGGTAGTTTGCATCACTTAATCACTCTTTACGTAACCATGTGACTGGGAAACAAACATTGGACCCCAAATTTAATAGCTTTTCCCAATATTTATTGTACAACACCGTAGGATGTGAAAGTTGTGTTACAGCTGCCTTACGTACTACTTGCCACAATGTTCATTTGGATCTTTTATAATATATGGAACTTGCAAAAAATGTTGAACACAAAAACACAGTTTATTACAAGCCATATTGGGGTAGTTTTACATCATTCTTACTACATTTGCATGAAAAAGCTTGCAATTAAAGGTCTAAGGTTCTACATCAAAGATTGCCAACAATGGAGTCATGATTGGCCAAATTTCTTATCAGACTTAAGTTGACTCATAAAATAAAACAGACTACTTCTTTTGTTGGATTGTTCATAACAAGTGACATTTGGAAATAAAATCAATATCAAAATAATAACAGTAAAAAATATCTACATTGTGTGACAGTCTGTTACATGTGCCGTGTACATGTACACATACCTTTGTGTAACCTGCTCCGTATGCCAGAAAATGCTGCAACCAAAAATGATTCAACCTCTGTTTTGGCCATGCAGTTGGCCACAGTACTGAAGAGCCCACAGTATTCATGTATCTTTTGTTACTCACAATGCTTTGATGAAAAATACACACTGGTTTTTTTTTCATCAAGTTCTGGGAATTCCCGTTGTATTGTATTGGCCCCTGGGGCCGATTTCACAAAACTCATCTTATCTTGCAACTCATCTAAGAGCTTAAGATGAGTCCTAAGTCTAAGATTGATCTTTGCTAAGAAGGGTTCCAGGATCGATTTCTCCAAACCCATCTCAAGAAGGATGGGTCATAACTAGAAATTTGGTGGCTGTTCCACGTTTTGTTGCACACTTTCACGGAAAAACAGTCATTAAAAATAAAGGGAAAGCCAAAATACGAACGTGTGGCAGAACAGTTGACTCATGTATGCTTCCAGTCGTTTTGATAATTCCGTTTTAAAATGACGAATAGGTTTTCTTGTACTGTTATATTTTTTAGCATTTTGCTTTAATTAAACTACCTACATGTAATTGTAAGTGATAACACTTTTCAAGTCTGTGCCGCTAGTTTTCCCACAGAACTGTTACATTTATAGCTCTAGGACAATACTTGTCTTTCATTTTAACGATTACTGCATACATTAATGAGATAAGACAACCCTCAGACCAATCTTAAGTTAGGAAGAGTTCCTGAAGAAGTTAGGACTTGTTGAACGTGTCCTCAAGTTTAATGAAATTGATCCTAAGACGAGTTGTAAGAAAAGACAAGCTACCCTTCTTAAGACAAGTCTTAGAGTTCATGAAATCGGCCCTTGCAACATTCTTCATGAATTACTTTGTGCAGGCCTATAAAACCTGCCTGGCAAACCAGTAGAGTGTTGACTTAGGACTGGAACATTGTGGAGGATGGTGATGTATGCATGATGTTGTTCCCCAAGTCATGAAAGGACACGAACTGATGGATGAATTGAAAAACGTGTGCATCTAAATAGGGAGACTTTTTGTAGGAACGTAACAATAGGGATTGATCCTGCTCTCCCCGGGGGGTAAAATCATGTTATTCGTGGTACATGTAGGTACAGAAGTGCCATATCAGATCTGAAGAAATTCCAATTCTTTGAAACTTTGTAAATTTGTTTTTTTTTCACGTTGTTGGAATTGTCACTACTATCGGTACATGTTTGTGTACATGTATAGTGTAGGTACGTGCATGTAAGTTTAGTTGGTCCCCGCCCAGGTCCCTGCTACAGTTTTCTTCTCTGGAAATTCAACAGACAATGTTTGTTATTGCTGTTTGCACAGGACGCATTGAGGGAATTTATGGTTATTACATGTACATGTATAAACCTGTCTCACATGATCAACATGGCAAATAAAATAACCAATAAGCCATGTGCAAGTTAAATTTGAATAAAATCTGGTGCGCTGGGTTATTTGACTGCACATAAACATTAAGATTTGAATTCCCCAGACTAAAGACACTGTTGCTATACCTTGTGATTCGGGGCAAGCTTTCGCATAGCGACCACCATCTCTGGAATGGACTGGTTCCTTTGTGCCCTTCTTATCCATTGAGAACAGTGTATTGTTGCAAAGCGTCTCTTATGTAACTAAGCAATAGCTTGCCCCGAATCACGAGGTATAGCAACAGTGGTTTTAGTAAGAAGAATTCAAGTAAATTTACGTAAATTTAAAGAACTCATTGTACCAGATTTGGGTCAAAGTTAATTCGCAAAAGCCTTATTCTGGCAAAGTTCGTTTATCTATGTCCACCCCATGTTTATCACCAGTTACTCCCACCAACCCCAATCTCTCCCATAGGTGGTTGTAGATGCTTTTTTAAATCAGTGTCCAGATTTTTATGAGAAGCCAACATGTTGGTACATACATACATGCACGTGTATCTCAGTCTCATCACATTATATTTGCCAGTTGTTTCTTTGGAAGCAATCTGTCATTGTATTTCTTTGCTTTTTCTATGTACATTTCTTATAGCTGGATGAGTCATTGACGCTGGAACATCGGATGACAGCTCGCAGTCTGCTTGCCACAGTACATGCTGCTGCTGGGAACCAACAGGGTGAATACCAACAGCTAGACAAGAGTTAACTAACCCTACCACCAGCATTGGAAGTCATTACTGTAGTGGCACTGCATGCCTTGCACTGCTGAGGTGTATGTTACAACACCTCTTGACCAATTTACTTGCCAAAATGCATGTGTATAAAGGACACATGGATGAGTGTGGTGTCGGCACAGTAATGCTGTCTTTTCAGAATAGATGTACATATGTGTATGATCTGTGGACCAACAGTGACCAGAAGTGGCAAAAGTAGACACAATAGAGGTGCTGTAATCATACTTGTGCTTCTAAAGGTCATTGCCATATTAACCGATGCAGTTTGTAATACTGTCATAAATGCACACACTCTACTTGGAACAAGTACCCATTGGCCAACTTTTCACTACTGTCCATTGCAACGCCATGTTAGCTGGCATGGTTTACATGTATGTTACAGAGATGTCACGCAAGCAAACCAAATAGGGAGTTGTGAGTTGCCAAATGTATGCGCATCTCAAGAATGTGTGCAGCTGTAATAGGCTTGCATGGCACCATCATTGTACTTAAGATGAGTTTTTGCAACCACAGCCGAAACACGTTTCCTGTTCATTCATTTTATGGGGATTGTCACAGCTTTAGTTATGCCTGTGTGACGTTGTTTCAACCAAACAAGACAACCAAAGGCCGGACTTTGTTCATCACTGGTTCCAATGGTAAAAACAATTTCACCCAAATAATGTAACTGAATTATGTATCCCCAGTTGGATGCATGCTGCTGTGTGCAGGAAACCAACATGGTTACTTCTAAAATGTGAAAATAGTAGTAGTGAAAACTGGCTGATGTTTTTCATCAGTGTCGTACGCTAGTTTCAACCATGCTTTTAATTGTATTTAAGCAGACTGCTTCAAACATATTCTTGGTTATTGCTTAGTACATGTATTTGCAATCCACTCAAAGTGGGGACACAAGAGAGCATGTTTTTACTTTGCAATGATGGCCCTCTGCGTAGAACTCACTGTGTGTATGGGATCATAAACATTTGGCATGGGATGCACTGAGCATGCCCGACCAGTTAATATTTGAAAGTATAGCATGGTCTTTGCATGTTTGCCGGGCACGAGCCCAGTTAATAAACTTTCCACCAGCCTGATGCTTCTTGACAGGTGAGTATCTTTAGCTACCAGGATGAAAAATATATTTCTTCTTTTTCAGATGCCATCGGAAGCCTTCACATCTGCATTCAGTGGCAGCGTTCAAATGTCCATTTCTGGCTAAAACTCGCAGAGGCTTATAGTGCCCTCTATCGCCAGCCCCAACCTGCGTCACACTATCACTGCACTGATCATGCTCAGAGTTGTACCACAGGTACCAACTGTTCAAAAGAGCCAGGTCCTGCAAATCAAGTTGGAGCTACATGTAGTGGCAACAGTGCTTTCCCTCATACATGTACATCAGGTGCAACTACAAGAACTACAGATATTCCTAGTAAAAATGTGGGTAAATGTGTTTGCCTAAAGTGGTATGCTAATAAGAAAGACAACAGACTTCCAATTCAGATTAGTAACATTGACAGTTGTTACCATGCGAGAAATGCATATACATACAGTTCTTGCCTGCCAACATCACATGAACTACTGAATCCAGCTGACACAAGGATGGAAAATTCAAATGAAGCATTTGCCGAAGGAACATGCGGGACTTCACTGGACGACAAAGACTTATCCTTTGGTGACTTACTGAACCAGCTGGACAGCCTTGCTATAACTGAGCAAGCTACAAGTGCTGAGTTAATTGATGAATCTACCCAAGGTGGGTTGATGTGCAATCAGCATCGACCAATACTACTTGCTGCTAGTTGTCTCCTTAGAGCCAGGTAAACATGTGAAGCCTTGAATTGTCTTTGCCAATGGCTCAATTAAGGTAATAACTATGCAAACCGTAGTTTGCTCACTCAGTGGAACAAGCATCAAGTGCTCAAACTCATTGTTGAGAACAATGTAGGTGTTGTCAATGCAGGTGAACACTGTTAAGAAGAGAGTTCCTGAAATAGATTCTTTCTGGAGAAATATGGAGCTGAAAAGTTGTGAAATGAAGTGGTGAAGTCTATCATTCCTAAAAACTGGTTTAGAATCTTTCATTCTTGTGTAAAACTCTGTATAGGCTTGTGTGTACCGCTAGACTACTTACAATTTCACATTTGTTAGAAATACCATGTGGAACATGTAAGCGTACACTGTACATGTTCATGCGCCTTACTCTCAAAACCACGAAATTCCCTCATTTTCATTGAGGTTTATGAACTGGGTCTCTTAAGCCCTCATTCGAGGTGATTATAGTAACAGTGCTTGTTATGTTTGTGTGTATATGAGGTAAATGCACCCTTATATTTAATAATTGTTTGCGAATTATAATTGACTGTGCAGAATTTCAGCCAACATACCAGCCATTATCTGTCTCTCAACAGGCTGTTACTGAAATCAGTGGAACACTCTGTTGCCTCTTTTGCAAAAGTCAAAAATAGCCAACTTCAGATGCAGGTAGGAGTTGATATTGCATTAGACTAATTTAATTTGCGGAGTATGACTCTTGGAGCAACATTCCTAAAATAATCTAGAAAGCATTTTATTAAAATGATGGAGGTCACTGATACATATGTATGCTCAAAAAGTTGGTTATTGGGAACAGAAATTGCATAGACTCCATTTTATCATTTGAACTTGTATTCGGCATTTTGGTCTCTCACATGTACCCAAGCATCTCAATAGTTTCTCAAAATAAGGACTTCCCTGTGCTACTTTCTGGTAAAATTCATCTGTTATAATGCCATCTGCAGTGCTTCAAGTGAGGTTTCTGGAAGAATGAAAACAAGTCTGGTTCCCCATCCAAAAGATTCTGACTTTATTCAGACAAATCATATTTTGGTTGGGGGAAAAAATGATGTGCAGGTTTATACTGATTTTGATGCCGTGACATAAAATACCTAATAGTTGATCATAATCCCTGAACATTAATCTAGCTACATGTAGTACATGTACATGCATACTTCTGTAAAGAAACACAAGGAAACATTGAACCCTTATACCAAATATGAGTCCAAATGAATGTGGCGCCCTCTACCTATCTTTCACTGCCATGAAAAGATGGCATAATTAATCCCTTACCCGAAAGTAGTATCTGGTACTTTAATTCTGGGAAAACTTGTTTCCTTTATTGCACAGATAGAACAGACTCTAAGGACCTTCCATCTAGACACTGCCATCCTTGAAGTGCTACATCACCATGCAAGAGTCATCTTCAGGAAAGGCTGTCACCGACTCGATGAGGTTACCATGGCAATGGAGGAAGGTGGAAGAGATGACAAGGGAAAGGATGAAGCTTCAGAGGAAGAGTGTTTAGCCATGACTGAATTTGAACAGAGGTGGTTCCCATGGCTCGTGGGTAGGAATTCATAGTAGTCCTAAATCTCTAAGCATTTTCGCTTAGAACCTTCCTGATTCTGTTCCTTCAAATTCCTCCATTTGACAGGATACCAGTGGCACATTTTTACTGACAACAACCTGACTTTTCCTTCCACGTACCTTTTCAGCGCACTCTGCTGCCTTCACAGGAGTTTTAACTTGTACTACTGATATCTTTCCAATGACAACTTTTGAATCATTTTAAAATACCTGGTTTGGCCTGAGCAGTTTGTCTGAACTTAAATTCACATGCCCAGACAAGGAATTTATCCTCATTACCAATGTAGTGCTTGACACACTACATGATGGCAAGGCACTGGAGTGTTGCTTAGGAAGGAACAAGTTTGCTTCCATTGCCTTGACTACCATTTCCATTTTCTCAGTGAGTATTTTTGTCAGCATGTGACAGCTGTGCTATGACAGCCTTGCCGTTTTGGTCCGTTGGGTTTGCGTCGCTATACTCTATGATTATTAATTGCATTTCTGCAAGTTGTTTGAGCTTTGTTTGTCGAGAGGGGGTTATCATGAAACATTTCAATTGTTACCAAGCCAAGCTCTTCTCTTTTGACACTATGGTTTGGGCGAATTTTACTCCTACTGCTGGAAGAGTAGTTAATTCCTTCACAGATGCTTAATTGATATTTACAGCCATGGTTTGGATATATCACTTGTCAAATAGACGGTGCATGTAATGATGACAAAAAATCACTATATATTAAAAGGACTTGCCACAAAGTCAACAATTTTAGACAGTCACCTGCATCAACTGTTATGCCTTTCTCCTATCGTTGACACATTTGCAGTCTGTGCAGATAACAGTCAGAATGTACAGGTACATTGGTGAAACAAAAAAAATGTGCGTTTTGCACAAAAATATAGCTCTAAAGTGATTCTCATAAAAAATGCACCACGCAATGCAATAAGTAGCAGATTCTTGGTCAGTACAAACGGAGTGGTAGAAAGTTCATATCAATTATTAAAATATCTGTCCTGTAAAATGGATCTAGTGCCATCAATACCAACTGATGCCAAGAATGCCAGTAACTATATTGACAACGTCAACAAAAGCCGATGACGTCAACTTAAAATATGTCATAGAAAAAATAACTTGAATTTTGATTCGTGGAATAATGCAAACAAATGCAGCAATGGGCCTAAAATTGTTGACTAAGGAAGGCAAATAATGTAAATTGGCAAAAACTAACAATTTGTTGTTTCAACTTTTGAATGAATACTCCCTCAGAGACTTTTGTCAAAGTAAGAAAAACACGCCTGTTTATTCTATCTCACATTTGCTGTAAATTAGATTTTAGACTTTCTATATGTACCTTAGGTTGGCCTGAGCAGTTTGTCTCAGGCAAGGAATTTATCATTGTTGCCAATGCAATGCTTGGTGTACCATATGGCACCAAGGAGCTAGAGTCTTACATAGGGAGGAACAAGTCGTGAGTCGTGATGGCTTCAGTGCCTGAGTCAGGCTGAGACCTTGTGGCCATGTTTGGGCTGGCTACGCGCGCCGTCATGCCTGAGTGCCCTTATTCAATATGCACAGTATTTACTAGCACCAGACAACTGCAGTCACTATTTGATTTAGATTACAAAAGCGGTTGTATGTTTTAAACCGAGGTTGGTTGGGTTTGCCGTGATGTGGGAAGGATGTTATGACATTGAAATCAAAAGGGCAATTTTACAATATTTTCACTGTACACTTCAATCTTGCAACAATTTTCAGTATTTCCTGTCATTTCCTATCATTTTCTGATATGAGAAGACTGCCGTGTTGATGGAGGCCAATGAACCTAACACCCTCTTCACCGGTGATAACGACAGCAACAATGCTTCAAGTTGCCTGCGGAATGGTTGTTAGTCATGGGTTGGCTTGGCCATTTCCTGAAGTGACAGTATGTCTAGTGAACTGCCGTCAGTGTCTAACCCAGGGGGTTGATACAACTTCCCTGTGGAAAATCCTGCATACTTGGGACATGCTCTGAAGAGCTCATCAGATTTCCCTTAAAGACCAGAAACTTCTTGTTTTCATGGTCTGCTGTCTTCTAAGTACATATGGTACAGTGAAAAAATACTTATTTCATGTCCAGGGCTATACTTTCAAGGGTTATTTTAAAAAAATCCCGGCCTACAAGAGTTAATTAATACAAATGTTCTGTCTCCAGCTTATATAATCTTTCACATTAAACATTTAAATGCTTAGTTAGAACCCCACATTTTGAATAAATATTAAAACCATTTACAAGGTATTTCTAGTGCCGAGAATGAACGCATGTGTGGTCACTGATCCCCTGTTGCTCCAAGAGGTTTTGTGCCGATACCCGCGACAGACTATGCAGTGAATCTTTAACACTTTTAGGCCTCAGCCACCAGCCTCTCCGCTGTCCCAGGAAGTTTGCATCCAATCCAGTCCCCCTGCTTTCATGGTAGATTCGTGCATGATGGGTTTTTTCTTTGGTTCAGAGGCATCTTGAGATGCTCCTTTACATTCTGGTTGCCATGATGGTGCCTTAGATGTTCCAGGTTGCAGCTAAGGAAGCGATCTATCACTCAAACAACAAAAAACCAGATTTAGCGCCATAAAGTTCGTGTTTGTACATGGCTAGTCTTGTGGTGCATGTATATAGCCTGGTTAATCCACCCTATCAAGTGATTTAAACTTCACGTGATGTGATTGAGGCAGTAGCCAGACATATACAGGCCTGTACGCCTAAACGGGAATTACTCAAGCCCAAGAGCTATTATGGGTTTTTTCAACTTCCACAACTGTTGATCCAAAGGTTGTTTCAAGGTTGGGATTTTCAGAGAATGAAGTTGACATGGTATACCGGTACCTTCTGAACGAGTGAAATTCAGTAAATTGGCCTGGGTTGACAAATGACCCATTTTACTTGATCGCACCACACATAATGAAGGCAAAGTAAACAGATGACTATCAGCTTCTCTGGGTACGCACTAAAAACACACTCCTGAAATTGTCCCATAGTGCACTGTGCACCAGTACTCCGCATGCATGTTTGGCAGGGTCACTGAATGTGTGCAGTGCACAGAAGTTAAAGGTAAATAAACACTAACATAGAGTACTAGGCAGAATCTGAATAAGG